TTTACATTCAACAAATCATACACCTTGTTTCATTAAAATGATTATAATCCCCTCCATGTACCATCAGTTAACAGTACTTCTCTTTATTCACTTTAGCATTTTTTTATACAAAAAACCCACCCCACTCAGGCATATATAATAATTTACACCTCCAAAGGGCACATTCTGCAAGTCTGCCTCCTGGCCACAAGCTCTTCCCCTGATGATCTTTCTTTGAAGATGTATCTTCCGTAGCTCTAGCTGTTCCAGGTTGGTCTGCTTGTTCTTACTAGTGGGAATGTCCCACCTCATAAGGCTCTGGATGGGACTCAGGATTCTGCCTAAGGTCCTATACTCTGCAAGGGCTTTGCAAGAGGTCTATTTCACTGGACAAGTTCTAGAACCCCTTTTAGGTATTCCAATCTTTATAGGCTGAGACGGGCTTACACATTTTTTGTAATCATGTTTCCCAACATTCCTTTCTATCCCACAAGTGTTTATTTTACAATAGTAGGCAAAGGAAACCAATATTTATAAAACAGTTAAGCATTTTAGTATTATTTCCCCTCTTGAAACTATGCCTAGATCCCTGTATCACAGAGCCCTGATGTTCCAAGCTTGAGCATGCATCACTATTTACCTCTGTCCTACTAAGGCCATGCAAACCTGTCTCAGTGTTCCCCTATCTATCTTGTTCTTCTGCTTCCTCTCCCTTTTTGTATTGCCCTCCCCAACACCCAAACTAACCCCCGCACATTCTTAAAGTAAACTCTCTCTTGAAAAGTTGTAAGCCAGCCACTTCGTGCATTTATAGCTCCTCCCGCCCCCACTATAGGTAGCCAGTGTCTAAGTTGCCCGTCCCTACCATCCCTCCCTGTAAACCAAAGGGATAGGTTTGATCCTTGATGTGAAGACTCCTTCCCTCTTGGTTGGTATTTTGAACTACTATATCCATAAGTTTAGGTTCATCAAATTGTAGCAACTGGCACTTGCTTCCTTTATCAAATTTCTTTATCGTCCTTTAATCAAGCTCTGATCATCAAGCCAACAAAGCTAGGTCAAATGGGTATTATCTGCAAGTTTGGCTGTTCTTGTGTGTCTCCCCTCACTTTGTATCAGCTGGACGCTTCACTCTCAGCTCTAGCACTCCATGGCTTGGTTACGGTCTGTGAGCTCAGGAGTTCCCAAGTCTTCCCCAATTTCGGACCAACCAGCCCTTCTTCTTCTCTTGCTCATCTCAAGGTCAACAAGAGTCTATGGAACCTGGTCGAATTCAGCCCATATCTTCATTACTGACTTTCTCGTGCTTCCACTCACATGTAGACCAACGTGGTCATCAGTGAGCTTCCATGCCTGCTCCTGTGTGCCCTCTGAGTTTCAGCCTTGGCGAGGGGTTTGTCCTGAAGGGACTTGATAGTTTGCTTTGATGGCTCCCCAGTGAACAGCTTGATTGTTATTATAATAGCTGTTTTTGTTGCTAGTCTTTCTTTCAGGACATAGCTTATTTTCCTCTAACCACTCCAGGCTGGTCACAAAGCAGATGTTTTAAAGACCTGTACTAAGCAGGACTTTGTTTGTCTGCTCTTGTGAATATTGTTGGAAAAGCTTCCTTTAATTCTCATAGGATTCCCGCTAGTCTCTATCAGTGTAATTTTACTTGATCATGCAATTACAAATTAAGCAGAAGAGTCTATTCCTATCAGAAAACAGCTTTACATTTAGGGTATATGAGGGGGCTTCAAAAAGTTCATGGAAAATGGAATAGGAAGACAATGGAATTTTTCTGTGAACTTTTGGAAGCTCCCTTGTATTTAACATCCAAGAGCTGAGCTTTCCATGGGTAGATTAAGCTGCAGACAAACTAGTAACTAAGAGTAAAACCAGGGGCAAGGAAGGCTGTGTTTTTAGAGCTCTATTTTAAGCTTCATGTTTTAAATTAAAAACAAGGCTTAGGGGAAGAACAAATGACACAAGACTGTGAATCTCTACGACATGCTCTCCAAACATAAGGCAGCAATCCTCCTATCTTTGCCTTAATGTGCCAACTCACCTGTGCCAGGGACAAGGGCCTTCTGGAAGGCTTCCTTCAGAGAGCTGTGCCCGTGCAACAGTCTGTGGCTAGGAGAGATGGCCACGTGGGAAGTGCCGTAAATGGCCTCGGGGGTGGCTGTGTAGGCCGTCAGCATTTCTGCTGTGACTTGCCCATCAACCTGGCAGGAGGAGAGCATAGTCAGTGCATTTCTCACCCTTCCTTTGAAATGTGCTGCTCCCCAGCTGCATCCTTTCCACCCTTTCCTCTGTACTCCCAAACAGCAGGGAGCAATTCTGATCACCTGCTCTGGGTGTTGGGGGTTGAGCTGGTGCCTAGCAGGGGCAGAAGTGGGTGGGAGAGAGAACCGAAGTACCATCTCTCTCAGAAGCTCGCCCTTCCCCAGTGCCCTCCACTAGGTACACTTTGCAGTACCAGATTGAAGGTGGCCAAAATCTATTTGGAATGATGTCTTTCCAGTTTTCATGGCATCTTAGTTGTAAATAAAAAAAAATAACCCTCAGTATTATATTGTTTCTGTCCTGAGAATGGAACAATATTTCCCTTAAGGATGTAGGACGATACTAAAATACACAGGCATTCTACTTTTCTAACTAGAAATCCTGTGGTTGAGATGCTTTTTGTTTTAAAGGGAGAGGAAGGATAACGGCTTGAGTTGAGCTCATGACTGAGTATGTCTAGGGCTGGTTCCAATACCTTTCAAGAACAGGCATCACTGAGTGCCAGTTGTGTGCCTAATCCAGGGGACACAGAAAGGAAAGGCATTCCTTCCTTCATGCACTTTTTCAACCACAGATAAATAGAGAGCCACTGATGTGAAGACATTCAGAGACAGCCTGAGCACCAATGAGGTACCACCTATGGGCCCAGGCTTGGACACAGACACAAGCCACATGGCCCTGCACTGGAAGACTGAGAATGCCTCCCTAGAGGCATTTAGAGGTGGGTCCAGGGATGGAGATGAAAACGTTTTCATAATAAAACACTGGGTGGGGTTGGGAGGAAACTATGTAAGACATTCTATGTGCAACAGCCAAGTGGAGACTTAGCATTCTTCACCCTGGATGGGGAGCAGAGGCCTCTGATGTGGGGATGGCACCCTAAAAAGATGGCCCTGATGCGTTTGAACAAAAGTCAGGACTGCAGAGAATTCCAGAATTCTCACATAGTCTCAGACAATTATTAAGAGAAACAGCGCAGTTCAGGATTTGCTCTTCAAAGAATACATTCCCTTATGCGGGGCTTTCCACAGTGACAACTGGAGAGAGCTGGATCACTTCTGTGAGTTGGTGGCACGAGGAACTTTAGGCTCAGTGACAAGCAACTGTGCTGTTGACACCATATACACTAAAGCACTAAAGAGCACTTGAGTTGGAGGTGGAAGGGTCTAGAAAAGCAGCAGGCTTATTTTCTCTCCTGGATGCTGCCTCCTTTTAACAATTTCGACTGGGACTAAGATGAGGAAAGAGTTTGCACTACTTACAGCACCTAGTTAGGAAACAGTCACAGAAACCCCTGCCATCAGTAGAGATGAGTTTTAGAGGCATCTTCTAAATGTGCAGGGTAGGTGGGCCTAAGTACTGACCTTACAGCAGTGCTTCATAGGCCACCTCAATTGATGCCTGGGTGACCACACAACCATTTGAAGCTATAAGCCTGGATGGTTAGCCTTTGCTCCCTTACCTTTTCACTTGCTTTGAGACATGGGTTCCTTTGAGGATACAACGAGCGTTAGGGCCCTCTCCTCAGGAAAATGTCCACACAAACATTATGTACTATTAATTTCAGAGAGCGTGCAGAGCTCTAGAAGATCATGGACTGTCCAATATGATAGCCAGTCGCAAGATGTGGCTAGTGATGTGCTTTAAGTGTAAAATACACAGCAGATCTCAGAGACTTTACACCAAAACAAGAACCTAAAGTCTCTCCTTAATAATTTTCTATATTGATCACATCTTCAAATGATTATATTTTGGGTATACTGGGTTAATAAAAATGTTATTAAAATTAATTTCACCAGTTTCTCTGAACTTTAAAAAGCATGCACCTCACATCGTCTTGGAATTGGACAGCATTGTGCTAGAGTCCCAATTGCTGCTCAATTTACTGAGTTCCAAAAACGTAAAAGGAGATCTTTGAGCATTAATTGCTGGAGAGGCTAGAACTTGATCACCTTTAATGTGAAGTCCAGATGGCAGCCCACACAGTCTCCAATCCAATGGGCCTGCATGCCTTTTATCCCATACCATTCCGGAAGGTCTGCCAAGGAATCCTGCATGGCCTGTGAGAATAAAAGGAGATTAGAAAGGTAAAAGCTCAGAGCCTCTTTATAAGATGGTAAAGTAAATGATTTGGGGGTGTAGCATGCAGGATAAGCACTGGACAACTAACCTCAAGGTTGGCAGCTCCTATCTACCAGCTGCTCCTCAAAAATCCTACACAAGGTTGCTCAGTTGGAACTGACTTGAAAGTATTTAACAAGGTATGTTTGAGGTCCTACTATGGCGCTATAGGATCAGCACTGAACTGCTAATCACAAGGTCGGTAGTTCAAGCCCAGCAATGGCTCCTCAAGTACCCTGTACAGGGTGGCTTTGAGTCGGCACTGATTGGACAGTACTTAACAACACCTACACCAATACCAAGGAAGAAAGGGGCAGTGGAGGCTCAGTGGTAGACTGCTCCCATCCCATGCAGTAGACTAGCTTTGATCCTGGTCAGTGCACCTCACATCACTCACCATATGTCTGTCAGCGGAGGCGTACATGCTGCTATGAAGCTGAACCAGGCTTCCAGACTAAGACACAGTAGGAAGAAAAGCCTGGTGATCTCCTTCTGAAAATCAGTCAGTAAAAATCCTATGGAACAAACAAGGGTCTGATTCCCCACGAATCCTAGGATGGCACTGAAGCAGGTAGTATTTCCTTCTGGTGTGCATGGGGCCTGGTATGTATGGATCCCACAGCAGCTTAGAACAACAGGAGATTAGATACGTCCAGTGAAGGTCACAAACAGATTTACTCATTGTGACTCAGACCCACCTCTCTCTCTTGAATGAACCCAGGTTACACGGAAGGAAGAAAATTAGCAAGAAAAGACCATGCGTAACATCTTGAGTGAATGTGTTCGGCACATCCCTTCCCACGTTCTGGGAACAAAGCAAATGAAGTTCAAAATGATGAATTTTGGAATTCTATGAGAAGCCATTCAGAGATATTCTACAACTCAAGGATATCATATGTTGTTGCTGTGAAGGGCCGTTGAGTCAGTTTTGATTCATAGGGACCCTGTATAGGGTTTCCAAGGAGCAACTGGTGAGTCTGAACCACTTTGTGGTTCAAACTGACACTCTGTGGTCCAGTGTTTTATCCCACAGTGCCACACCAGGACTCCATCGTATATGTTGTTAAGAACCATTGAGTAGGTTCCGACTCACTGCGACCCTGAATAGGATTTCCAAGGAATCGCTCATAAATCTGAATTGCTGACCTTGCAATTCCAACCAATCTTGCGACCCAGTGCATTACCTCACAGTGTCACACCAGGGCTCCATCGTATATAGAACATGACAAATTACAACTTTGCACATAACAAAATAAAAACTAGCATTGGGGAAACCATCACATTAACTTGTATAATCATATGCTATTTATCTTCATCATTATTTGTCTACTGGTAAGCATGATGTCCTACAAAAAAGGGGGTCTCTCTGTAAATGATTCTTTGTAGCCTTGAGTACAAGTCAGCCCTTATCATCTGATAATGGGGCATACTCTTTCAACAGATGGATTTAAAAGCAAATCACATATTTGCACTGTGAAAATTTCAATTTTGTGTTCTTAACTACAGTATGATTAATACTGGCAACATCATGATGTTTTACTTGTCTAGTGCTTTGTAACTCATGAAGCGCTTTTCTACACCTCTTCTCACATACTCTGGTAAGGTGGCTCATTTTCCGATGAATAAACTTATGCTGAAAGAAGTTGCATAGCCCAGTGCAAGGTCTCAGGACAGGATAAACTGGGACCTTGCACTGGGCTATGCAACTTCTTACCAGGACCTAGATTTACCAACAGTATTCTTTCTGCTACAGCAGAGACTCTTCCCTTATCATGTGACCTGTGCAGCAATAAACAACAGAAAACATTGTTCATATCTACCATATATCTATCTACCCATCTATTCTCATCTGTTCAGGGCAGTCAGGAAGCTTTAACATCCAGAAAAATTTTAAAAGGCTAAAATTGCGGCTAATGGACATCATCAAGCTGTTGAGCAACCTGGCGAGCCATTTGTTTATTCCACCACAATGCATTAACTACTCACCCCTCCACCCAGGCTTCCAGCTAGACACTGGGAGTAGGGGTGCCACAGTTTCTGCCACGAAGCACGAATCATGAGCAAATAGAGCTTGTTGCCGTTAGTGCAATTCAGTGCCCAATGCTGTTAGTGTCAAAGGAGATGAGCCAAGAAGACAAACGCGTGTGTGAAGGTAAGGAAGAAAAGCAGCAGAGGGAAGAACAGAGAGATACAAAAGAGCTAGGTAGGTAGACTGCAGAAGAGGAGAAGGACAGTTGCAGGGATGTGTGGGCAAGTTAAGAAAAACTTAAACGGGAAAAGGAAGGGAAAAGAAGGAGAAACTGAAAGCAGACAGGTAATGGAGAAATGATGCAGGTGAGGGAATAGAGGGAATGAATCTGAGGAAGGAGTTGAGACCATCGTGTAGTGTCCAGCAGCTAAAGAGCAGTGTCTGGCCTCTGTTGGGTGCAGTGAACAGCTGCTGAAATGAATCATTGGGCTTAATGTCAGTGTGGGCCTTTCTGCCATGTGCCTGTCAATCTTGAGCAACAAGCAAACCAAAGAGGGGACAGAACTCTCCTAATGTCAGGCTAGAAATCAGACGTGTGTGCGAACTGAAGAAAGGAGAGCATTGGAAAGCCTTGGTGATGAGCTTGATCGAGTTGCCCTTCAAATATAAGCTAACATTTAGGCTCAGTACAGATAGTTTCCTTTCTGTTCTGCTACCAACTAACTAGGACACCTGGGTGGCACAAATGGTTAACACTCTATTATGAGCCAGATGGTTGGTGGTTCAAACCCATGCAGAGATGCCTCAGAAGACAGGCCTGGCTATCACCTTCCAAAAGGTCACAGCCTTGAACATCCTCTGGAGCAATTCTACTCCGCTCATGTGGGTCCAACAAGTCAGAACTGACTGGACGGAAACCAACATAGACGAACCCACTGGATGTAGCACACTCGGCACAATCCTCAGTCAGTGCAAGGACCCAATAACCCAGTGTGTGTTTACAGAGTCAAGTTCAATGAAATGAGCCTCGGGTTCTTCCATGTCTGGACTGCACTTATTAAAGAGGAAAACGCTGTTTCTGAAATATGTCATCAACTAGAGGCTGTTGGTATTTAAAAATCTAACTGGTCAGCTGGAAAGGGAGATCAATGAAAATCAAATATGTGGGGAGAAAGATGCAAAATAATTTCAGGTATATTTTGATCTGCGCTTAAAACATTTTACGACAGTGATGAAACTATATTCTGTTATGTATGTCTGCCAAATCTCCAGGGTAGGATTAAGGTTATCTAGAGTTGTTGGTTTTAAGTCAAATAAGGAACAAATCAACATGTGCTAATATCAAACATAGATTACAACTTCTTTGTAGAAAATAAAGAATGCTTTCTGGTTACAAAGAAAGTTGTCCAGGGGACCATGATGCTTCTGTATTTGCCTGAGGGAAAAATCGTTAAGAGGGTGTGTGTGTGTGTGTGTGTGTGTGTGTGTGTGTGTGTGCTTTCAATCTCCTGATTGTTCACTTTGCTTCAACTGAACAATCAAGTTACTGAACAAAAGGCTTGCTTTCAGTTTCTTAAGAACACCATGCCTACCTCAGGACCTTGGTAAGTGCTATGTTCTTGTCCTGAACCACTGTCTTCTCACAAGTCTTGCCTAAGTGCTACTTCCTGAGAGAAGCTTGCCCCCGCCATTCAGTCTAAAGTAGGTGCCCCATGATGCATATCTCTAATTGTTCATGTCTCCTCTGGTTTAGATGCTGACTTGCTGACAACTAACTCTTCTGGGATGCTCCCTGAGGGCAAGAACAATGCTCGGGTTTGTCTATATCAGTGTAGGTTGTATCCTAAATCCATCACTTCTGAATGATCCATGTATACTTAACTATACTTAACATCACCTAGAATTTTGAGTACACTACAGGTACTTAATAAATACCATTGAATATACGAAAAGTGAACCGCCTGTCAAGATAGTGTAGAGACAAACCTCTTCCCTTTCTCTTCTCCTCTGCTAAGAGAACAAACCTGTTTATCAATATGAAATAGCCAAAGGTCTGCTTTCAACAGATCTTCCTGCTGGCTACAATGCCAAGTGTAGACAGGAGGCCTTGCCCTTCTGAAGCATAAAGCCCGGGGGGGCCTGACTCTTCAGTGAAGCCTTTGGTGACCTTTCAGTTTCACTGGCCCCCTTTCTTTCCCGTCCTCAGAGATCTCACAAGATCTCAACTCTCAGACAGTTCATCTGCAAACTTTTCACCTTAAGAAAAAGTTACAAAAAGACCAACAGACAAAGACAAATACAAAAAAACCAACTGATGCAGATGTCTTAGTTTCTTAGAGATGCTGGAAAAGAAACACCACAAGTGGATGACTTTAAAGAACAGAAAGTTATTGTCTCATAGCTCAGGAGGTGGGGGTCTGGATTCAGAGAGCGGCCTTGGAGGAAGGTCCTTCTTAGTCTGTTTCAGCTTCTAGATTCAGGGATGGGATCCTAGGCGATCTTACATGGCACCTACCTTCCTCAGCTGTGCTCACTTGTCTGTGTCTGTCCTACTCTTTGACAGATTTAGGATACACCCTACATGATAGAGTCTCATTAATATAACAAAGAAAGCCCTATTTCCAAACAGGATTATATCCACAGGTATATGGTCAGGATTCCAACGCATATTTTGGGGATATACAATTGAATCCATAACACCAGACTGAATTTTCACTGTGACCTTTGGGGTGTTTAAAATCACTCATGATTATCGTCTAAAAGCAGTATAAAATCTTAACTTATCAAAAAAAATAAAAACCAAACCTAAAATATATTTCTTTTGCAGTTTAAATGCATTTTGTTGGATACTAATTCCTTAGAAACATGCCTATTAATAGAAAACGATCCATATGAACACTCAGTAAACGAGAACATTAACTTGATTGAAAGCGCCTGTCCCCTAACTCTTTCAGATAAACAACAGCTCTC